ATGAATCAAAAATTTTAATTTTGAGGAGTAAGTGCGTAAGTGCGTGTGGGAATGCAAACAGCAGAAGACGCAATCGGTGAAACTTTTCGAAAGGTTCAAATTTAAATTGAATACGATTGATGGGAGATCGCGAAGACGAAATCCAAAATTTTGGTTTTTCTGTAACAATTTGCCTTTAGGTTTATACCTACCGGTAAGGTTCGTAATAATCATTATTATTATCACGATAATGACCGTAACGAAACCGTTGATGATCTGTTTTTTTTTAACAAGAATAAAACAAATAAAAAATATCGTACAACAAGATGGCGAACGTCGAAGCGTTCGTCTCATATTAGTTCATCGAACCATTTGGTGGTGCAAGAAGATGAGGAGGAAGAAGTGGAAGCAGAAGGGAAAAGTGTCGACCTTGAAAAAAATTTAACCTCGTACGACGACCGGTAAAAATTTTAATTTTTTATTTTTTATCCAGAGGGTTCGAATCCGGAGTGTGTGTGTGCGTGTGCGTGTGCGTGTGTGTGGAAAAATGAAATTTTATTACCATTTTTATTACCCTATTTTTATTATTTCTCTCTCTTTTTTTTTGGAACGCAGGTGTAGTAAATCAAGTCGGAATTAAAAAAAAAAATTTTTTTTTTTTCTCTCGGGTCACATCTCAGGGGTTGTCAACACTTAAAATACTCGACCTTAAGCAAAAGAAACGCGCCAACGACCTTGATCTCAGAGAGAGAGAGAGAGAGAGATAAAGAGAGATAGAGAGAGAGAAGGATGCTGCGAATTAATATTTTGTTTACATTACCGTAAAAGAATTTTCTTCGCTTTTTTCTTTGTTAATTATTTTCCCGGTTTACTAAACCTCCCACCATTCTCCTCCTCCTCCTTCTCCTTCTCACGTTTTTAACTTTTCATAAATGAGTTATTTTTAAAGTTAAAAAATTTCCCCCCCTCCCCCCACTTCACTTCCTATCCTTTCCCTTTTTTTTTTAATTGCGCGACGTAAATTATTTATTATTATTATTATTATTATTATTATTATTATTATTATTATTATTATTATTATTATTATTATTGTTATTATTATTTTTCTAAATATTCTTGTCGCAGGTTTAATAATTCGCACGTCACAAATTATCATTAATTTTATTATTATTATTATTATTATTTTTAGTCCTATCATCATCATCATCATTTTTTCTAAAAACGTTTTTTTTTTTTTTTTTAAACATCCGGTCAAAGAGTTACAAAATAATTAAAGTTATTTTTTAAAATAAAAAAATAGCCGTTTAAATTTTTTTTTCATTTATTGGTAAAAAAGCAGAAGATGATGTAAATGATATTATTATTTTTATTATTATTATTATTATTGTTGTTGTTGTTGTTGTTGTAACGACCTCGCACGGGTGTGCGTTTAATGTCGTAAAAAATAATTTTAAAAAATTCGTTTGATTCATTCGCGAAAACTTGAATTCTATTATTATCATTATCATCATCATTATCATCATCATTATCATTATCATTATTATTATCATTTTTTTTTTGTATAAAGTTTCAGATGCGTAGTAAAACCTTAAAATTAAATTTCGAAGCGAAAACGTTACACATGTAAGAATTTGATTACATTATTTTTTTTAAACATATAAATATTTATAACGAAAATTATTTTTTTTTTTTTTTTTAATTTCCTTGCAAAAAATAACAAATGATGATAATGATGATGATGATGATGATGATGATGATGATTAAAACAATAGGAAATACGCGAGCATTATTATAATAATGATAATGATAATTAAACAAAAAAAAAATTTGGTTTAAAATATATTTTGGCCTTGTTGTTATATGGGCACGCGTGAAAAAACACGAATAATTTTTTTTTTTTTTTTCACAAAGATTTTCAATATGGCGTCCGTTAAGGGGTAATAAATAAATTTGTAAGAGATATAGGAAAGACTAAAAGGGAAATCGCGTTATTGATAAGATAAAACCAAAAAAAAAAAACGATGATCTATGTGTTTGATCTACGGGGGAGGAGGAGGAGGGAAGGGTAGAAGAGGGAAAGGGAGGAAAAAAGGGGGAAAAGGGGGTGGAGAGACACACGAAGAACTGGAGGAACTGGAAGATGAATTTTTCAACTCGATTTTTTGGTACCCAACAAAGTACGATTGTACCAAAATGTAAAATCGTTATTCATTCTCAATGGGGAAAATGTAAATTTTAAAGCTTCGTACGTTCCTTTATAGCAGACGAAAATATTAATAATAATAATAATAATAGAAACGCGTAAGTAATAAATCGTAATAATTTACGATCCTGCATCCATTTGGTAGTATTAAATAATTCGCAAAACGAAATAAATTATTTCGTTAAATTTTATTTATTTATTAAAAACATAAAAAAAAATAAATAAATAAATAAATAAATTTCCGATTGAGATACGTTACATAAAATTTTATTAATTAAAAAAAAATAAGTTTTTTGTGCGTGCGTGCGTGTCTTGGAAATTCCACTCGTTAAAATTGTTAATATTATTATTATTATTATTAACGTTTCACATAAAAAGTTCCGAAGAAGAAAAAACAAGAGAATCGTTTTCACTAAAACGGGGAGAAGGGGAGAAGGGGGAAAGGGAAATTCAGGTACAGGAACTGGATGAGGAGGGCGTTTAGATGGATGGGGCCTTACATAATATCAATTTACACGAAGTGAATTTTTTATCAACGGGTTGTAATTTACAAGGTGTATTATAGGTAGTTAGGTAGGTAGGTAGGTAGGTACGTACCCATTGCCAAGGACGTTTGATTAACAAAAAAAAAAAAAACCTGATTTACTTTTTATTCGGATTTTGAACTCGTACGTCGGAATTTTCTGGAAATTATTCTTCTTCTTCCATTATTATTATTATTTTATTAACGATTATAAATGAAATTTTTTATTTTACCCTTCGTCACGTTTTCCTTTTTGATTGGTGAATAAATAATAATAATAATAATAATAATAATAATAATAATAAATGAGTAATAAAATTATTTTTGACACCCGATTCCATTTGGCAAAAGTAAGACAAATAAATAAATAAAAATTTTTTTTTTTTTGTTTATTTTTTTATGCGAATTTTTTTGTTATGGTTGTTGTTGTTGTTGTTGTTTTGGTAATTTTTATTAATCCACGTAATAAAAAATAAAAAGTTTTAAGTAATAAAAGTTTTAATTGAAATTTTAAGTTTAAGCGTGGAAAAAAAAAAAATTTTTTTTAACGAAGAAACAAATGTTTCCCTTCCACCATCTTTTTTTTTTTTCCAACGTGATTCGAGTACAAAAAAAAAAAGGAGGTTGTAAATTAAATTATACAAGATTTTTTTTTTATTTAAAAACCGCATTATCAATAATAATAATTGTTGGACGTTTGTTGTTTTAAAAAAATTCGTAAAACTTGAAATTTGTTTCTCGGTAAATTACAATTGCGGCGCCATCGTAAATATAGACTTTGAAAAAAAAAAAAAATTCAAGTGTGTAAAACTCGTATAGTATATACATTTCTCACACTTTTTAGCAACTGAATTATATATATTATATCTACACCTATATTAAGTGTTATAAAAAACAAAAAAGGAGGAAATTTACGGTTTTTTTTTTCCTTTTTCCCTCGGAGAATTTTCTTTCTTCTTCGTTTGACGTTTGCAATTATTTAACTTTTTTTTTTTTAATTTTAAATTGGCAAGAAAAAAACAATTTTTATTTTTTTTTTAAATAATACATTCGGCGCCTTTAATAAAAAAAAAAAAAAATTATAGTTTGTTTCTTGTAGAAAACCAACATTTAAACACTAAATTACGTGAATGATATGTTTGGTGGTATTTTAGTAAAAAAAAAGAAAAAAAGAAAAAAAAATTTTCATGCCATTCATTTCTCATATTATTTTTCTCACTTTTTTTTTTTTTTAACTTAACTTTGAACTATTATTATAAAAACCCTTTATATTAATTAATAAAATAAAAAAGTAAATTTTCATTCATTCATTCATTCATTTTCAACGTTATTTATGTATATTGTTATCATCCTTTTGAATTTTTAAACAATAAGTTTTCCTGCAAAATTGCGTTTAGAGTTTTTGCAATACATTTGTGCATGCATTGCCTATATATGAAATCGTACAATGTAATTTTTCGAAGGACGAAAAAAAAAAAAATTAATTAATTAATTAATCTTTGTTTTATCTTTTTTTTTTTACAGATTAAAAAGAATCTCATTAGGAGAAAATAATAATAATAATAATAATAATAATAAAGATGATTTTCATGGTATTATTGGTGTTAATTAATGTGGTCGTTTGCCACCCTAGTCAAAAATCCGAAGGACTCGGACATAGATCAGAAAACGATTCCGTATTATCATCATTATCATCATCATCATCATCAAATCCAAGACAAATACCAGAGATTTTATTGGGAAAACTTCAATCGGAAAAATCAAATTTAAATCCGATAGATTCCGGTGATCCGTTGAAAATAAATCACGACGAAAATGAAAAAAACAATCATTCAAGGAGAAAATCAAAAAGTTTGAGTTTTTATCCTTATTATTTACCCTCCGTCATACCATTTCCTCCCCCCGGAAATTTCTACCAACAGCAGGATAACAAAGACACGGATAATTCTTATTCCCCGACCGAATGGCTATCAAGAACGGAACCATTTAAAAAAAATCAACCGCTTTTAGATTCGCCGACGTATTACATAAGATTACCACCTAATCCGTATGCATTCGTACCAGGAGTCGGTTACGTGAGTCGACCTCCATCTTTATCCGATCCGGAAGTTTATAATAATGATAACGTCAAACCGGAAACGAGTGTGCAAACGGGAAATGACATATATCACGATCCTTTTTACAGACTTCCTATTAATTTCGTATCGAACGGTAAACCAACGTCGGTTTATCAACTTGAAAATGATCAACCAGTGACGAAACCAGATTCAAATTTTATTAATTTAAATAAGGGACCCTACGTATTCAATGGAAAACCTAGCGAAATTTATTTAGTCGCACAAATATATAATGCATTATACGGAGACGAATTAAATCATTTCTATCCTTAACCCCCGATTTTAATTTTAGACGACTATAATAATAATAATAATAATAACGACGAGTAATTAATTGAATTTATTCGGTGATTAACGTTTGAGTCGAAACACGCGCACACACACACACACACACAAAATATTTATTAAAAATGACAAATCACGAATGCTTTTTTTTTTTTTCGTTAATTTATTTTCACGTTGACGGAAATCACTTTTCCATAACGCCTCGTTTCCGATAAAACGATATGAAAATACTTTTAATTTTGTAAATGATAATAATAATAATTAACGTTCGGTTAGACGTAGAGGAATGAATGCAAAAAATTCGTGCTATAAAACTCCAAAAATAAATTTTATTTTCTCTTCGGTTTCATAAAAATTTATTAAATAAATTATGTTAATAAAAAATTTTATAAACAATGTAATTATATCGTTGCGTGTAATT